CTTCCTGGGGAATCTGCTGAGCACCCACTGCAGGCTGGTCACCCTGGCCTTTAGGACGGGGTAGGCTAGTGAGGATTCTGTTCTGAGGGCTGGTGCTGGATGAGAGCTCAGGGGTTGCATCCCTCCAGTTACAGGTGTGCGGATGGGCATCAGGGTGCAGTGGGTGAAGCTGCTATTTGCAGTGCTGCCATCCCAATCGAGCAATGGTTTGAGCCCTGGTCGCCCTGCTCCTGGCACCTGGGGAAGCAGCAGAAGACAGCCCAAGAGCTTGAGCCCTGCACCCGCAGGCGGGACCCAGATACTCCTGGATCTTGGCTTCAGACCTGCCCAGTTCTGGTCTGAAGCCAAGCGGACCAGCAGGCATGTAAACCACTGGGCTAAACTCCTGGCCCCAAATCCTCCAAGTGGAAACCAGCTTCCCTGGCATAGACAGACGGGCACCCACACTTGAAACAGAATGGAAACGAACTCTTGGGTGGGCAATGGGGCTGCCCTGGGGTCTGGGCCACACCAGCCTTTTCCAAGGGACCCAGCAGCCATATCCCCTGTGAGGAAGACTTCAGCCTGTAGGGAGAGACCAGCTCTGCCTGGAAGCAGAGATTTGCAAGTGTGGCCCCATGCTTGGGGTTGGCTCTGGGGTTTACCCAGGGTGGCACTGCCTTGTCCACAAGAAACAGCAGGCAACACACCTGCATAGGGGCTTGGCCTTGGACACCAGAACAGGAAACACAGAAGATGGGAGGAGAAGCGGGCCTGGGCACCTCCACCGTGCAGGCTGGCCGCCTCCATCCCCACACCCACAGCAGGGGACCTGGGCACCTCCATCCCCACACCCACAGCAGGGGGCCTGGGCACCTCCATCCCCACACTGACAGCAGGGGCTGCGTGTCTGGGAGAGGATGAAGGTCCCATGAGGTCATGCGGTGGGGATCTCCAGACAGAAGTGACAGGACAGTCCTTGTAGGATGTTGGCCTTGTTGGCCCGACTCAGTGACCCGGCAGGGACATGCTGACTTGATCTGCCCTCTTCCTCTGCCGACAGGCCCAGGTTGGGAGGCCAGGCGCTGACCTCATGAGCTGACCCGATCTGTAGACAGCATGCCAACAGCAAGACCCCAGCTACTGTTGCGGGAGGCAGGAGGGAGACAAGGCCTGAGACAGAAGGGAAGACACACACCGGGAAGAGGCAGGCGAGGACTCGGACAGCGCACGGGGCCTGTGTCCCCCCTGGACGAAGGAGCCACCGCAGGCCCAGGGAAAAGGCGGCTGGGTGAGGACTCAGCGCACGGGGCCTGTGTCCCCCCTGGACAAAGGAGCCACTGCAGGCCCAGGGAAAAGGCGGCTGGGTGAGGACTCGGACAGCGCATGGGGCCTGTGTCCCCCCTGGACAAAGGAGCCACTGCAGGTCACCCGTGGGAGCCAGGGACCCAGAACCACATGTGGCTTCTACTTCTGTTGGCTGAAGGACACGGTGGTGGCCACTGGCCACGTGGATTCTGGCGCCTGAGCTGGAAGGGCAGCCACTACCAGGACAGGTCCCGGGCCTGGGCCCTCCTGCACGCAGCACTGTCCTCCCCGTGTCCCGTCCTCGTCGGGGCCGCTCGTTACTGTGACAACCCTGACATCGGAGGCTGACCCGTGCGTGGGGCCACAGCAGAGGGTCTCCTGTCGGCTGAGGATGGCCTCTGCTCGGGACATGAGTTCAGGATCCCGGAAGGGATCCAGTCCATTCCCGGGGGGATCCCACCGACCCGTCCCAAGTCACGGGTCTGGAGGAGGGAGTTGAGAGGTGCACCTCTTGGGCAGTGAGCGGGCGATGCCCAGAGACGACGCCAAGCTGGTAAGATGTGCCCTGCGTGCGTGAGACACATGGTGGCAAGTCTGAGCGCAGCCGGAGCTGGCCCTGCCAGCCCCTGGCCCAGGGCAATGCCACCAGGCCCCTTGGCACAGGGACGGGGGCATCGTCGACAAGTACTCTGCTCAGTGAAAACCTGAGGAAGGCGAATGGCACCCTGGGTCGCCGTGTGGTCCCAGGGTCACGCCCAGCGGAGTGGCTGGAAAGGGCAGTGGGGACAGCCTCCTGTGAGAACACGGGCAGCGGCCCCTCCTCAGCTGTGTGACCCAGCAACGGGCAGGATGAGACTGCGAGCCCGGGCCGAGGGCCACCTAGGTGTGCACCCGCAGGAAGACGAAGTGACATGGTGTCCACTCGGGACCACCGCCTCCCACGCTGCTGTCCCCCGAGGGCACCCATGGCTGGGGAGGACCACCAGCAGGAGACCACACACAGGGCCCCACCCAGGGAAAACGCCACAGGCACGGAAGGTGCTAGAAAAGCGAAACTTGTTTGTCGTTAAACCCTAAGGAAAAACCACCACCAAATCACCAGGAGGCTCTGACACCGCGAGTCGCGCTCGGTCACCTTGGGGGCCACCACAGCTGACCCCGCCGGAAGCCCGCCTGGACGCACTGCAGACACGCAACAAGCCCTCCCAGGCCCAGCTCCCGTCCCTCTGTCCTCAGACTGGCGCCACCCTTGCTTCTAGTCCTGCGGCATCAGAACAGCTGACATGGCCATCTGTCGTTCCACCTCTCAGGGCTCCCTCGGGCTCCCCCGCTCGGACACGCACACGCTGGCCATCGCCGGCCCGGGCCTCCTGCGCAGAGCCTGTCAGGGCTGGAGAAGGCGACGGGCATGATGAACCCAGGACAGAAACCAGCCCCACACCTGCCCTGCTGGGATGGGGGAAGGACCACGCTTCCGTCTCCATGGTGGTTGGAACCACAGGCATGGGCAATCGTCAGATGTGTCACACTGAACCCTCCCTGCGACCTGTGTGCTGTGTGGACAAGCTGCGACCTGCATGCTGTGCCGTGTGGACAAACTGCGACCTGCTGTGTGGACAAGCTGTGACCTGCACACTGTGCCGTGTGGACAAGCTGTGACCTGCTGGGTGGACAAGCTGCGACCTGCATGCTGTGCCGTGTGGACAAGCTGCAACCTGCCCGGTGGACAAGCTGCGACCTGCCGTGTGGACAAGCTGCGACCTGCACACACACTGTGCCCGGTGGACAAGCTGCGACCTGCCGTGTGGACAAGCTGTGACCTGCACACTGTGCCGTGTGGACAAGCTGCGACCTGCATGCTGTGCCGGGTGGACAAGCTGCAACCTGCCCGGTGGACAAGCTGCGACCTGCCGTGTGGACAAGCTGTGACCTGCACACACACTGTGCTGTGTGGACAAGCTGCAACCTGCCGTGTAGACAAGCTGCGACCTGCCGTGTGGACAAGCTGCGACCTGCACACTGTGCTGTGTGGACAAGCTGCTCTATCCAGGAGTCAGTGAGGAAAAGGGCGCTGGGTCAGAACCACAGAGAACAGAGCCCAGTGGGGACTCTGCAGACCCCTCCCCAGCCTGGGTTTTGTGGCTGAGGGCACCCACTGCACCACTGGGACGGGCAGGCCTCCCTCCTGCAGCTCAGTAGGGTCTTCTGGTGTGTGCTTTGAGCTGTGGAAGGCAGCCAACCCCAGCTACATTCCAACCCCCACTCCGTAAAGTGTGGCCTGGAAGGTACCAGAAGTCAGCAGTGTGCCTGGTTCTGCATTCTTACGGCAATCTGGGTGTTCAGGCCCAGCACAGCCCCACGTGGCCTTCCCAGAGGCCCTGGAATGGGAAACCCCAGCTGGGCGTGAGCCTGGGCCGAGAAGGTGCACAGAGCCTGAGCGAGGCCACCCTTCCAGGAATCGGCAGCCAGCACTGCCTGCAGCTCCCTCCCAGGACGGACGTCGGCCTGGCACGCTCTGCCTCACCCACCCCCGGGTGGGGACCCCGCCAAGGCTGCCACCAATCTTTTCCCAGGATGTGTGGCGACCCTGGCAGGTGGGCAGAGAGGAGGCAGGGAGGCAGGCTATACCCAGCTGCCCTGCTTTTTGCTGCCTGCTCTCCTGAAGGCCACCACTGCCCGGAGAAGGGAGAGGGCAGTAAGCCCTCCCGGGATGCCCATCCAACTTTGGCAGAGCCAGCAATGCCGGTGCCAGCAGGCTCCTTCCAAGGATGGTGGTAGAGTGCTGAAAGCAGGTGCTGGGAAAGGAGCCAGTTCCAGGAGGGGCGGCCTCAGGAGGGGAGGCTCAAGCTCCAGGAGGGGCGGCCTCAGAAGGGGAGGCCCCAGTTCCAGGACGGGCAGCCTCAGGAGGGGCGGCCCCAGCTCCAGGAGGGGCGGCCTCAGGAGGGGAGGCCCCAGCTCCAGGAGGGGCGGCCTCAGGAGGGGAGGCCCCAGCTCCAGGAGGGGCGGCCTCAGGAGGGGAGGCCCCAGCTCTGGGAGGGGAGGCCCCAGAGAGCCACAGAATGAAGTGCCGAGGTGGCCGGCTGAAGCAAGGAATGCAGGTCAGGAACAGCCAGGGGCCTGTGAGCACCAGCGGCAGCTCTGGCTTCCCATCACATCAGGAAAAGGCTGCCCCAAGGCCGCTGACCCACAGGCCACCTGGCTGCCAGGAGACACCTGGGCATGCGACCTGGAGATGCCATGAGCAGACAGAGTTCAGCACAAATGCCCACCTGCCTCATTTCAGAAAGTATCATCCACAGACAGCCGCTGTACTGAGTGCCCTACCCCAGACAGACCTCAGGGGGCAGGAAGGAACCTCAGAGACCCAGGGCAAGGGTCACACACACAAAGCACAGCTCTGCATAGCCCAACATTGCATGGTTCAGTGGAACGGCTCAGGGAAGCCTCCCCCAACCAGCCTGTCCATCGCCCAGTGCTCCTCCAGTGACCAGGACACGGGATCCTGCTTCCTGGGACCACGGCCGAGCCTGCCTTGAGGCTCCCACACCGTCTTGTAAGCAATTTCCGGTTTACACAGAGCCCAGTGGAGCCAACCAAGCAAGCTGCTCTGGAGAAATCCCACAGAACAAGCGTCTGCTACCACACACCGCAGGAGACGCACCATGCTGAGGCCGAGCGCAGAGGGTAGGCTCGCACTGTGCCTGCCACCTTACCTGCCTGGCTGTCCTTGAGTTTGCACTGCACCTCCTCCACACACGCTGCCGGGAACCACCCAACATGGCCACGGGCACTGCCTTCCCAGAAGCCGCCTTCGCCGATGCTAAGAACTAGGGGAGAGAGAAAAGGAATGGAGTTAGCTGGAGGTGGGGAGGGGGTGCGCGGTGGACGGGAGGGGAGGGCTGGCAAGCCCTGGGTCTGTGTCACAGTCTGGCCTATGTGCCTGCTGCCCCCAAGCCTTTCACTCCTTGGAGAGCACACGCCTACTGCCCTGGCCACCTCCCCTTAGGTGGTGGCAGAGTGTGAAGCCCTGGGTATCCTTCCATCTGACACCTGTCACGCCCCGCGTCCCAAGAGCCCACATGCGGCCCTGGTCAGCAGAGGACGACCCACGTACCCAATACCACGGGCTTGAGGTCTAAGAGCCAGGGACAGTCAGCTCCTGGGGAGGAAGATGCCGAGGCCACCTGTGGCTACTTCTAAACAGAAGAAAAACAACCCATCCGGATCTTTCAGCTCCGTTGGACGTGCCCCATGGCCAGGTGACATCACTTTTGCTACAGGAAGGGCTGGATGCAGGGCCTCGCCTGGTCAGCACCCTGGGGACCCGGCCGTCAGCCTGGCTCGCACCCTGGGGACCTGGCCCACACCCTGGGGACCTGGCCAACCACCTGCTGACTTGCGATCATGTTTGCTGACTGGAAGTGGCCACCAGCGCCCTACCCTCGGGGACCACGGGGCACAGCAGGATGGGCACAGTTGCCCCAGGGTGGGGGCATCTGTCCAGGCTTAGAAGTCCCTCCCTGAACCCAGCACTGGGTCCATGTGGGCCCACAAACATTGTCTGCCTGAGAAAAGAGAATCTTAACTTTAAGCATGAGTGAGGCATCCCAGCCCCGACTCCAGCAAGCAGGGGAAACCAACAGCTCAGGACTCTGTTTCAACAGCTTTTAGCAGCGCAGGCAAAGTTGTTGGTGTTAGGACATGGCAGGCCAGGGTAGGGCAGGGCAGGGTAGGGCTTGGATGGGCTGGGTGGGGCAGACCAGGACAGCATGGGGCAGTGTAGAGCAGGGATGGGCTGGGCGGGGCAGTACAGGGCAGAGTAGCACAGAGCAGAGCAGGGCAGGGCTGGGCAGGGCAGGACCATGGTGCTGGGCTGCAGCCACCTCACGCCCTCACCCCATGAGCATGCGTGGCTGTGTGGTGGCAGGAGACCAGCACCATCTCTCCACACCTCATCAGGCAAGTCCCCAGAGCTCCTTCCTTCCTGTAAGGCTTGGGATCAGACAAGCAGCACTGGGCTCCGGCTGCTGAGGGTCAGGGGAAAAGGAGACCCACGGTGCAGTTGGAAGCAATGATCTCACACAACAAGAGCTGTGTGCTGGCTGACCGGGGCGACCCCGCTCTCCCAACCCATGCTGGCCTCAGTGACAGGGCTGTTTCCCACAGGGTCCCAGGAACTCCCCATCTGAGCCATGCTGCAAAGAGAGGGGTGCCACGGACCAGCTTGAGTTGACGCCCACAGAGAAGTCCACTGCACCCCTTACTCTTGGTGACCAGTGGGTTGTTCTGTGGCTTCAAGTGGGCCGGGGGACAGGACTGTTAAGGCAGAGCCTGGGAGTCTCTCAGTGAAGGCTCTGCCACATCCTGTCTGTGCAGCACATGGGAGACCATCTCGACAGCTCCTCGCTGCTCGGGAGCACATGGTGTAAAGATGCAAGCCCCTTCCCCTAATCGCTTTCAGCCGATGGCCCACTCTGTGAGAGAACTTCCCAGCTGGTGGATTTAAGCTCTGTCGAGTACCAACCATCATCCTCCATTCATCTGTCACCTGCTAACCAGCCCACCAGCTATCTATCCACCACCAGTTAACTAATCCACCTATCCATTCACAGCCCATCTGTCTCCTGGTTCACACATCTACCCACCTCCCATGCTTTTGTCCACTTATCCATCAATCTGTCATCCAGTCTCTCTTTAAATCACCACTCACCCATTCATCTGACCATCCATTTACTCATTTTTCCATCCACCGATGTACCCACCCACACATCCATCCATCCACCCACTCATGCATCCATCCACCCATCCATCCATCCACCCACGCATGCATCCATTTATCCATCCATCCACCCATCCATCCACCCACGCATGCATCCATTTATCCATCCATCCACCCACCCACCCATCCATCCATCTGTCCGTCCGTCCATCCATCCATCCATCCATCCAGTCATTTAGTCTCCCAACCGGCAGCCACGCATTCATCATCCCATCTACCCTCCTGCTTGTTTATCTATCTGTCCATCTGCCCACCCCTCCTTCCCCACCTCATCTATCCAAATTCCAAGTGCTGTGCCCAGAAGAATGAGAGAGTACAGGCCCAGTAGGGTTCCATCTACCACCTGCTAACCAGCCCACCAACCATCCATCCTCCATCCATCACCTGCTAACAAGCCCACTAACCATAATCCTCCATCCTTCTACCACCTGCTAACCATTCCACTAACCATCATCCTCCATCCATCTACCACCTGCTAACCATTCCACTAACCATCATCCTCCATCCATCTACCACCTGCTAACCATTCCACTAACCATCATCCTCCATCCATCTACCACCTGCTAACCATTCCACTAACCATCCATCCTCCATCCATCTACCACCTGCTAACCATTCCACTAACCATCCATCCACCACCTCTCGGGAACACTGTGAAATCACCAGGGAGCTGGTTAAGTACGCAGATTCTCAGGACCTGTCCTGGCAGATCCGCGAGCAGCTGGCGGTGTAGACACAGGCACTTGGGGAACACAGGCTGAGAAACTGGGCCTACAGGCGGAAGCCCTGACAGAAGCACCTGGCTCCTCCACAATGAAGGATCAGGGTGCAGGCGGGCACGTGCTGGGCAAATCAGGGGCCCTTGCACCCCAAAAGAAATGAGGCTCTTGGCAGGACAAATGAACAGTCTTAGTCTGGGGGAAAAAATGTTGGGGAGCCACCCAGGTGCCTAGTATCCCACTGTCTCATGAGCCCCTACCCTCACAGGACTGAGTAGGAAAGACACCACTAAATTGTGACCTATGATGTTCTTGGTGGGAGCCCCTTACCATTGTCAGCACCCCAGGACCTGACCCTCCCTGCAAGGAAGGGACCATGATCTCTGGAAAGCCCCTCAGACCCCACCCCAGCCAAGTGGGCAGCAAGGCCTGCTGCCTGCTTCAGGGTTCCCATGCGGCCAGGGAACAGGATCCCCCAGCAGGCTGTGCAGCGGGGGCTGCCCCCACCTGCACATTGCAGATCCACCAGGAGAGCTGCAGGAACTTGCACATCCGCTCAGGAGGCAGGCACCAGCAGCCAGGCCGCAAGGGGAAGAGGCCCGGTGGTTGCACACGGCTGTGCTGTCCGCTCTGGCCTCCTAGAGGAACCGCAGGACTTGATGGCCTGGCCCATGGCAGGTGAGTTCCAGAAGTGAGGCCCATCTTGTCCCTGGCAGGCAGACCCCGTCCAGCAGCACAGGATGGGTTCTGCTCTGCAGGCGACGATTGGGGAGGGATGAGGTCTGGAACCCCGCCTGTTGGTGTGTGGCAGAGAGAGGAGCCAAGGGGGCTCAGAGCCTGGCCTTGGCAAAGGCCTTTCCTTGCTTGGACCATGCTGCCCTTGTGCCCAGGGAGCCCCCAGCTGCTGCGGGGAATGGCCATCTCTGTGGGGGCCTTGCCTACCTCATGGATCCCCTCCCACCCTTAGCTCACCTTCCACACTGCCCTCTGGACAGTGGCAATAGCCTCAGGATGGACAGCTCCAAGCAGGTCTCCCCCCGCTTCCCCAGGCCGTAAGCTTGGGGTGCAGGAGGGGAGCAAACCAGGCCCCTGCCCAGCTTGGCGTAGTCCGATCAGACCCTGCAGGAGCCACTGATCCCAGCCCGGGTCACTTTCTTGTCCCTAAAGAGCTCTGAGGGGAGCTGATGGAGGGGCGGGGTCCTCACCTCTGGCTCCCACAGACCTTGAGCTCCCCATCTCCGCAAGGGAGACAAGATTGCATGAGGTGACCACGAGGCTCCGTCCTGCCCTCCATCCTTCTCAGGCTGGGTGTGGGAGGGGCAGAGCCGTAGCCAGGGTACAAGTTAGAACCAAGGGCCTTGGGTCTCACCCATGTAGAGCCGGCAGCATGGCCGCGCTGGCCTTGACCCTGGTGCAGGCCGAGCCCTCCCTGCTTCCCGCCACGTGGTCCTGCCATCTGTTCGTCATCAGATCAGGATCCAGCTCGCAGTGGCGGGGGTGTGGGGGTCTGTTCAGGCCCTGACTGCCGCTTCACATCCTTGGGCCACACCTGGGGGGTGCTGTGGAAGCACGCGGAGCCCTGCCAGCGGCTGCGCCGACCCCAGCTGCCATGACCCTGGCTCGCACACGCCACCCTCTGCAGTGACAGCTCCTGCCACGCCCTGGTGGCCAGACGAACAGGAGGGGACCAGGTGGGCCACCTCGGCTCCCAAGCTCCCCAAATTCAGGACAAGCAGGGTCCAGCAGAGACGCAGCCCTGCCCAGCCTTCCGCTCAAGGGCACACTCTAACACTCACTCACCCAGAGCCCAGCTGCATGCTCGTCCTCCCCTCATTGAGCTCGTGAGGGATACGGCGTGGGGAGACAGTGGTCCTGGGGCTCAGGGTCAGGCAAACTGGGGGGGGGGACTCCCCAGCAGCCTGTGAGGAGAGCGTGGAGGCCCACAGTGACAGCCACGGCAGACCCGGGTCACGACCGACTCGCATCCCCTGAAGCCACACGTGTGAAGCCCTGGCCCCACAGCACCCCAGCACACGACTGCGAGATGCCACAAAGCCAACCGAGGTCGACCCTGGCCCCACGGTGTGGCTTCTTCCAAGAGAAGGTGAGAGCGGCAGGCCCATGTGAGAACACAGCAGGAAGAGGCCCCAGGACACCCCAGGACTGCGTGGCGGGGCAGGCTGAGGGCCCAGCCTAGGTCCCTGGTGGCAGGTACCTGAGAGACGGGGGTGGTGCCTCTGCCCAGAGCCAGCGCAGCTGACGGCACGTGCCCTGCACCCGGCCTGCTCTCGGCAGCTCACTCACATATCTCTACCCCCTCCCACTGCCTCAAGGTCATCTCTGGCTTATGGAGGACACAGGAAGCCAAGGAGAGTGGCTGCTCAGAAACCAGCCTGGCCCTCTGCTTGCAGATTCCACACGGGCTGGGCTCGGGCAGGCGGGTCCTTGTGGAATGAAGGCAGGGGCTCTGCCCACTTCCACATGTGGGAGGAAGAGGCCTGAGAGGGCTTTGGGGTCATCAGGAGGGCCAGGGCACAGGCTATCCTCTGGCTCCTGGCTGGCAGACACAGCTGGCCCAGGGGTGGCCCGGGAAGACATGGAGTACGCGTTTCTTTGCAGCATAGCTAGGCAACGGCTCCTCCACACGGCTGTTCCGGGCACCTGCCCGCCCCCTGCTTCTCAGAATAGAGCCTCCTCTTGTCTGACAATGGTTGCCTTCACATTCAGCATGTGGGGCGGGTGGTCAGGGGCCCAGGCCAGAAGCCATGACTGCGGAGCGGGTTGCAGGAAAGCCCACTGGGCAGGCCTTCCCTGGTCCCGACTCCCCCTGCCCCCAACCCTGCAAGTTCTTTGAGGAGTTCACAGAAGCCACGCGGCCAAGGGGACGGTCAGTTCTGATGGATGTGGGGCCTCCGGGCTGCACCCCGTGATGCCACACCTGCGGTGCCCTGGGCATGAGAGAGAAGCTGCAGAGGCAGCTGAGACAGGCAAGGTGCGTGGACTGAGGCTCCAGTTCACACAAGCCACAAGCTCAGCCAGGATGCTTCATACCCGGCCTCTGGGCACCGAGGGGAGCTGGGGACAGGGCAGCCGTTGGACCAGTGCTCAGCCAGGACACCGGTCTCTGTGGGCACCGAGGGGAGCTGGGACAGGGCAGCTGTCGGGCCACCATGCTCGAGGTGGAGCTGTGAACAGGGCAGCTGTCGGGCCACCATGAGCCATGCCCACACAGGCCACGCTCAGCCAGGACACCGGTCTCTGTGAGCACCGAGGGGAGCTGGGACAGGGCAGCTGTCGGGCCACCATGCTTTGCCAGGACGCTTCACACCCAGCCTCTGTGGGCACCGAGGGGAGCTGGGGACAGGGCAGCTGTCGGGCCACCATGCTCGAGGCGGAGCTGTGGACAGGGCAGCTGTCGGGCCACCATGAGCCATGCCCACACAAGCCACGCCTTGTCCATCCTGGATGGACCTGCTCGCGCGTAACTGCCACAGGTGCAGCGAACATGAGGGAAGATAGAGGCCAGTCTATAATAAGCTTTCACCAAGATTCAAAGTTGGTCAGAGGAGTGCTTGCAGGTATAATTTAAGCTCTGAAACATTCTGTGTTACTTTAAGTTGGGACAGAGAATTCGAGGGCTTCTGTTAAGGGTGAACAAGGACTCCAGGGGATCACCCGTGAAGGGTGTGCTGAAAGCTACACTGATAGAGCCCAGCCACCCCAAGGGGCTAGAAACCGGCTGGAAATAGCCCGGCTGTGAGGAAGACACGTGCCTGCCTGGAGCAGCGGGTGGGAGTGGCCGCTGTAACAGAACGTCCCACTCCCGTGGTTACCTGGGCCACGGGCAAAAGTCCTGCACTGCTCAACTCTGTGGCCCTGGCATCCCACAGGGGCACAGGTTCAACCACGGCTGCTTCAATTGTTATCCAGCTCACTATGTACGGCCTGGGAAAGCAATGGAGGGTGGCTTGAGTGCTTGGGGCCCTGCACCTGTACTGGGGGACCGGGAAGAAGCTCCTGGCTCTTGGCTTTGGATGAGTTCAGCTCTGGCTGTTGTAGCCACCTGGGGAGTGAACCAGCAGATGGAAGACTTTGTCTCTCATCTTTCTTTCTCTCTGTAAATCTGCCTTCCCAACAAAAACAAACACATCTTTCGAAAAAAAAAAAATCCTAAAGTCTAAATGGTTTGAAGAGCCAGCAAAGTACAGCGCCTGAAAGCCAAGGGGCCGGACACTGAGGGACAGTGGTGTCAGGGAGGGGCAGGCAGGGGCCGGACACTGCAAGGGACAGTGGTGTCAGGGAGGGGCAGGCAGGGGCCAGACACTCGAGGGACAGTGTCATGGAGGGGCAGGCAAACTCAAACTCCCCAGCATGACCTAACCCCCAGTGTGCACACCAGACACATCAGCACAGCTCGCACACTGGCACCTGAACTCGCACAGAACTGACACCTAGCCACCTGCTGTCAAGGGCATCCCACCGCAACACCACGCATCTCACACCCACCACAAAACCGCGCATCTCACACCCTACGTGCAGGACACAGCCGGGAGTCACCACAGAGGTGCCACTCAACACCCTACGTGCAGGACACAGCCGGGAGTCACCACAGAGGTGACACTCAACACCCTACGTGCAGGACACAGCCGGGAGTCACCACAGAGGTGACACTCAACACCCTACGTGCAGGACACAGCCGGGAGTCACCAGAGGTGCCACTCAACACCCTACGTGCAGGACACAGCCGGGAGTCACCAGAGGTGCCACTCAACACCCTACGTGCAGGACACAGCCGGGAGTCACCAGAGGTGCCACTCAACACCCTTCGTGCAGGACACAGCCGGGAGTCACCAGAGGTGAAGACCTAAGACAACACGGCACGTTCTCAAGAAGCTCTCAGGCATCACCACCTGCCAGGATTTTAATGTGGTGATTATACGAATCCACACGCTGTGAAATAAAACACGCTTTCCATGGGCTAGGAATTTCGACTGAGTACAGGAAGGCTTGGCAAATAAACGGGCGATGAAAACATACATGTGGGAACTATTAAACATATGGTGTCAGAAATGACAGGAACCACAGAGGGGCTACACAGCGAAAGGGAAATTTCAGAGGCAAGACAGCACCAACAGAATATGATCCATTGTGAATGCAGACGGCTGATGGAGCAAGGAGGTTCCAGGAACCTGTCTGGGGTGACCAAACAGCTGTGCAGCCGGGTCCTGGGGTCTGAGGGCCGGGTCCTGACGTCCACAGGGGTGGGTCTGAGGGCCGGGTCCTGGGGTCCACAGGGGTGGGTCTGACTGAGGGCCGGGTCCTGTCGTCCACACGGGTGGGTCTGAGGGCCGGGTCCTGGGGTCCGCGGGGTGGGTCTGACCAACAGCCACCTCTCAGAGTGACTCGGATAGAGAAGGAGCGTGATGGACAAGGGGTCAGCCGCCTGCTGAAGGACAAATGGCATCCAAGCGGGGAAAGCAGGATTTGAACCTGGTCTGCTGGCCATGAGGGAATACACTGTCCACTTAGTGCCGCCTGTCCTTCAATGGCATGACCTGGGCATGCGTGACATGCTTCCATGCCCTCCGTGAGTTCTGACTGCCCTGTGTGGCTGACCCTTGTGGCCCAGGGTGGCCACAGCCCTCGGATGCTGCCCCTGCTGACCCCTTCCTCCTGGCTGCCCTTGTGTGACCTCTGCATCTCAGGGTGGGCACAGCCCTCGGATGCTGCCCCTGCCAAGCCCCTTCCATCCTACAGACACTGCCTCCTCTTCCCGGTGCCCACACGCCGCCTATGTGCAGAGACCACTGCCCCAGGAGGTCCGACGCAGCCTGACACCGAGCCCTCAGTGGCCTCGCAGCTCCAACGCTACAATGAGACCCCTCCCTCAATCCAACCTGTGCCTGGCGCTGCCCCACCTTGCTTCCCCATGGTTGGGTACTTCCTTTCCCAAGGGACTCGCCTTCCTGTCGGACGACCACTGATCTCCCCATGACACACAGTGAAAGGAGGGCATGGGCAGGTGTCACCATGCCCCCAAGCCTGCCCTCCCAGGGGTCTGAGAGGTGCCACCCCAGGAGGATGGCCGAGGGGACATCCCAGGAGGACGTCCCCTCTCCCGCTCCCCGGCGTGACCCTGCTCTGGAAGCACACTGACCTTTGACCCTGTCACCGCGGTGAAGGGGGATTTCGCCGTCGACCTGGGGTTGGTATGGCTTGACGACGACGAACAGCCTGCCGGGCACCGCGCTGTACAGCTTCCTCCTGGGCCCCGGGCACTCAGAAGCCGAGAGGGCATCTTTGCTGGGACCAGGGGCAAAAGGTGACCTGGGTAAAGTGAGGGAAAAGAGAGAGAGGAGGGTCAGAGGTCACAGCCATGTACAGTGAGCACTGTCCTTCTCACAGGGCACAGACGGGAGGGAGGAAGTCACACACACACACACACGTGCAGTGACTGTCTTCACGGGAGGGAGAGAGGTGCACACACACAGACACACACACACACACGCGTGCAGTGACTGTCTTCACGGGAGGGAGAGAGGTGCACACACAGACACACAGACACACACACACACACACAGTCCCAGCAGAGCCGGTGTGAACCACAATCAAGCCATGACTGACCTGGGGCGAAGACCCAGCCAGACCCACAACCCAACTGGGGCTCGAACGTGTGAGCAGCAAAACTGAGTGTCAGGGAAGCCCACTCAGGACTGAGGAAAGCCCACTCAGGACTCGGCAAAGCCCACTCAGGACTCAGGGAAGCCCACTCAGGACTCAGAGAAGCCCACGCAGGACTCAGGGAAGCCCACTCAGGACTCAGGAAAGCCCACGCAGGACTCAGGTCCATAGGAAAGCCCACTCAGGACTCGGCAAAGCCCACGCAGGACTCAGGGAAGCCCGCTCAGGATGCAGGGAAGCCCACTTAGGACTCAGGAAAGCCCACCGCTCAGGTCCATAGGAAAGCCCACTCAGGACTCAGCAAAGCCCACTCAGGACTCTGGGAAGCCCACGCAGGACTCAGGGAACCCCATTCAGGACTCAGCAAAGCCCACTCAGGACTCGGCAAAGCCCACGCAGGACTCAGCGAAGCCCACTCAGGACTGAGGGAAGCCCACAACTCAGCCCACCCCACTCAGGACTCAGGAAAGCCCACTCAGGACTCGGCAAAGCCCACGCAGGACTCAGGGAAGCCCACTCAGGACTGAGGGAAGCCCACAACTCAGCCCACTCAGGACTCAGGAAAGCCCACTCAGGACTCGGCAAAGCCCACTCAGGACCTCAGTCTTCGCTGTGCATTTTACAGCAGGTAGGAAGAGGCAGCAAGCCGAGGGCCCAGGCGGGTGGTGCAGTAGCAGCCGACCCTGAGAAGCAGGGAGTCCGACCCTGGCTACCACAGAGATAGGTGTGCTCTGCCAACGAGCCAGTCACAGAGGAACAAACACCTCTGCAGGGACCCGGAGGAGTCATGAAGCCACCTGGGGAAGCAGCCTGCAGCTTCAGGCACAGGTGGCGTCCAGTAGCTTCCAGTAGCTTCCGGGGCTCTGAGAACACACAGAGAGGCGGGAGGCCACAGGCACTGAAGCCACCTGTTCACGCATGTCCTCGGCATGGCCTGCACGCAGCAACGGGCACAGACAGCTGCATCCCCCGGGGCTGCCAGTCCTCTGTCCCTGAGCAGAGACTCCTGCAATTGCCCGGTTCCTTCTGTGCAAAGCCAGTGGTACCCAGAGAGGATGGACTCGGAGAGCCACGTGCCTGGGACGCGAGGGTCCCCTGAGTGGATTTCGTTGCCAGCCTGGCGAGGTGGCACCAGGCCTCCGTCCACCTCAGCCCAGCCTGGCTTGGTGTAAGACCAACAGTGGAGAGATGAGACCAGACAGGATCTCACACACACACGGAAGGCGTGCTGGCTCCCACGCCAGCAGTGGGGGTGTGGGGTCCCTCAGTCAAAGGGGCTCACTGCCTCTGCTACAGTTAGCTGCCCCTTGGGGACTGCTCACCTCTGACCCTGCAGTCACAGAAGCACGAGAGATTTGGGGTTCCGGACAAGGCAATGAACAAAGCACCCAAGGACTGCAGGATTGCTCAGGCCCGGACCTCATCGGCAGCTTGAACCTTCTCAGCTCGCCCGCCCACACCTGCCCCACGGACGGCTGGTGGCCGAGGGCCTGGGCTGCGCCAGCGGTGTCTCACTGGGAGGCCTGGGGCCAGTCACTTGACCTCTCTGAGCACCCATTTCCCCATCCGTACCGCGGGCTGTGGAAAGTGAGGGAGGAGGCTCCGATGTGGTTGCCCTGGGAGGGTGCTTCGGGGAGGACCCACGCACCTGTGCCCCAACAGGGACACTCAGCTGGCCCTGTCACTGCAGCTGGACGGCAGTATCACGACCGAGGTCAACACTCAGCGGCTAGCACACAATGCTACTTCTGCTCCCCTGGTTGGGGTACAGGAAGGGGTGCCTGAAGTGCCCCAGCCGCATTGAGGGGTCCAGTGCTCCTGGTCAGTGGACCCAGCTACAGGGAGCAGACGACATGTCAGCCAAGCCCCCTCGGCCCCCAGCACTGGCATGGGCGATTGTGAGGGCCGTTGTCCTCATGGTGAGAGGCAGGCCAAAGTCCAGAGGAGAGGTGAGGATGTGAGGGTCCCAGGCAGCCAGGGGGCTCCCTTCCACTGCCCTACTGCAACTGGACAGGACGCCAGCCTGGTGCAGGTGGGTGTGTGAGTGTGTGTCATGGGACAGCGGAGGCCGTGTGAATGCGGCTGCTGTGTGGCACAGCCCCGAGACCAGCTTGCTTGTCCAACACGCCTGTGTCTATGGACAGGAGGGCTGACGTCCCACGCACAGGCACCATGGGTGCACACTCCTGCACAAACACGCATCTCCCTATATCCCCCACTTCTCTGAACCCCACACAGACCCCAAAGCAGCGAGGTGGGAGGCCCCGCACCATTGCACAAGGATGACCTAGGCACGGAGGCATGGCACTGACCCCACGTCCAGCCCCCCACTCGACGGCATGAGAAAGCAAATGGACTATACTCCACCTGGAGGCGTTGCCCTAGCTTGCCAGGAGTGCAATGGTCACTGCCACCCCAAAGGACAACGGGGGCCCGCCCAGTGATGGTGAGGGTGGCGTCCCTGGCTGGAGAGGAGGCACGGCGAGCCAGGTGGAACTCGATGGAACTCGAACCGATGCACTCCAGCCCCAGGGCAAGCACAGTCCTCAACTGACGAAGGTTCCACCCAGGGCCGAGCTGAGGTGGGAATGGGCTTGCTCAGCCAGTACCCTCAGCAGTCTGCTGACCTTTGTCCAGCGCTCTCCGCTGGAACGGGATGGGGCAGCGGGGGGGCGGGGAGGGCAGCTCCCAGGTGCCAGTGGGCACTGGCGAAGTCGGGGCTGGTCAGGGCGTGACCACACTGGGGGTGCAGCAGCATCTATGTCGAGTGGGTGGGCTGTGAGCCCATCACCTGGGCAGGAGGCCTGGGGCAGGCAAAGGTCCCCGGGGATGCCTGGGACAAAGCAACACTGCACAGAAATGACCAGCAGATACCCCACCCTCCCTGGGCACAGGAGGCCCCTGTGGCCAGCCCATGGGAGCCGAGGGTCTGGGCTGCGCAGCTGTGGAAGCAGGCACCCAAAGTGGCCTGTGTCCACGGGCACGTGTCTCACAGAGGGCTGGAGAGAGGCCAGCTTGGGCCACAGCAAAGGTTCAGGTCCTGCCGTCTGATCGGTCAGGCCAACTTCCCTGCCTGCTCCTGGGGCCTGGAGCTCTCAGACCCCACAGCAATGCTGTCCCAGTGCCCCCTCCCCAGGACTGCGCACCCCGAGGGACGGCCCTGCAGGGCCACGGCGCACTGTCCACCTGTGCAGCAACAGTGTCCCTCGGGGTCACCCACCAGCCACAGTGCCCACTTCGGGGGTGCCGGGAACAGCAGCCGTACATTCAGAACTGGCTGGTGTCAGATCTGCCACACGTGCCCAGGACCGAGGCCAGCACAGTCGGGCTGGGAAGTTGGGGACAAAGGCTCTTAGCACCCACACCGAGTCGGCTGGTCCCGCGGCAGGCAGCTGGAGCCAGCTTTTCCCTAAAGGCAAGCCCAGGACCCCCAGATGGCGGGTGGGGAAGTGCCCATGCACAGAGGACAGCAGTTTCTGAGCACGGGGCTGCAGCCTGACTGAATGAACCCCAACAGTGCTCCTGTCGGGGTCGGGACAACGAGCTCTCCTGCACAGTGGGGGCTCAGCAAGCATGAGGCCAGGGACGCTGCTTCGTACACACAGCCATATGTCCGTCAGAGAGGGGACCAGACAGGGAAGACCGGCTGTTACAGGACAGGACGCAGGGCCCAAACTCAGGCTGCCCGTGCACCTGTGCCTTGGTGAGGGCCTGTGCCACAGGGAGGGTCTGTGTGCCAGTGTCCCACAGAGGGTCCACGCCCCATGGAGTGCCCGTGTGCCTGTGCCCCAGGGAGGGTCTGTGCGCCTGTGCCCCAGGAGAGCCCGTGTGCCTGTGTCCCGTGGAGGGTCCACGCCCCACAGAGGGCCCGTGTACCTGTGCCCCAGGAGGGCCCGTGTGCCTGTGCCCAGGAGGGCCTGTGTGCCTGGCCCTGCCCAAAATAAACCTGGGGAGCAAAACACTGATCCCCACGCGTAACCTCAGAAACACGCATGCCACCCCAGGTGCATGTCAGAGGAAGGGAGCTCTGAGCCTTCCCTCCGCTCTGTGGCTCCCCGCCCCCGCCCCTTTCTAGGTCAGGATGGGTACAGCCATTACTGAGGAAAGCAGGTCCCAGCTCCACTGGGAGCCAGCCTCGGCCCCAGTCCCCTTGTATGCTGTGTTCCTGAAGGAGGCTTCTGGGGTCTTGGGTGAGTGGACTCTGCAGAAGAGGCTGTGCCAGGTGGCTTGTGTGCCTGAGCAGTGGGCACACTTGGAAGGCAGGTGGGGCTGGAGCCTCAGGATCTGAGGGTAGATCCCCTACCTGCCAGGATGTGCTACCACTGCCCCAGCCGGCTGGCGTCTGTCCCCGGATGAGGAACCCGTGGTCCTCCACGCCCTGTCCCCAGCCGGCTGGCGTCCGTCCCCGGATGAGGAACCCGTGGTCCTCCACGTCCTGTCCCCAGCCGGCTGGCGTCCGTCCCTTGGATGAAGGAACCCGTGGTCCTCCACGCCCTGTCCCCTAGCCGGCTGGTATCTGTCCCCCGGATGAAGGAACCCGTGGTCCTCCACGTCCTGTCCCCAGCCGGCTGGCGTCTGTCCCCGGATGAGGAACCCGTGGTCCTCCACGTCCTGTCCCCAGCCGGCTGGCGTCCGTCCCCCGGATGAAGGAACCCGTGGTCCTCCATGTCCTGTCCCCAGCTGGCTGGCGTCCGTCCCCCGGATGAAGGAACCCGTGGTCCTCCACGCCCTGTCCCCAGCCGGCTGGCGTCCGTCCCCGGATGAGGAACCCGTGGTCCTCCACGCCCTGTCCCCAGCAGCCAGATGAGTCTCCAGCTGTCAACAAGGTCAGCTCAATGACAAGATGACGTGGCAGACTTCCTGTGGAACTTAGCAGCTCTGCGCAGATCTGGGCCCCGCTTTACAGAGGAGACAGTCGAGGCACACAAGAGGCAGGGCACTTGGGCCGGCACGATGGACTGGCTAAGCCTCTACCTCCTAGCACCGCATCCCACATGGGCACTAGTTCCTGTCCTGGCAGCTCCACTTCCCATCCAGCTCCCTGCTTGCGGCCTGGGAAAGCAGTCGAGGACGGCCCAAGCCCTTGGAACCCTGCATCCATGTGGGAGACCCAGAAGAAGCTCCTGGCTCTTGGCTTCGGATCGTCTTAGCTCTGGCCATTGTAGCCACTGGGAAGTGAGCCAGCAGATGGAAGATCTTTCTCTCTGTCTCTCCTTCCCTCTGTAAACCTTTCCAATTATATTATATTATATTAATAATGATGACGATGATAATGATACAGAGACAAGAGACTTGCGAAGGTGGCCCAGTGAGTGGGGAGCCTAGCCGGGGGCACCCCGGGCGTGTGGCCTAGGTGGAGTGGGGGTGACAGGGTGCTGCCCCCGAGATGGTGATGTCAGAAGGTGTCCTCCCCAGTCAGTGAGGAGCACAGGGCTGTGGTGACCACAAGGGCCCGGGGGACCCTGGCTGCACGGAAGCTACAGCCGGGGCACTGCACTCAGAGCCGTGAGCACGGCCCACCCAGCAGGAAGCGGTCAGCACCGAGGGAGGGCGGGGGAAGGAGCAAGGGCCAGCCTGGGCTGGGCAGCAGGACCCATCCAAAGCATCTTCCATCTCTCCTGCCCAGAAAAGGCCATTGCCCAGCCGGGCACGGAGAGCTGGCCCCAGCCACCCAGCCGGGCAGGTCTGAGACGTGGATCGTGCTCCAGCCATGCGCCCTGGGTGTCCCACACCCTGGCTGAGTCAATGGGATGTCCCCTCGCCTGGTGAGGGCTCAGCACTGTGCCACAGACAGATCTCACTGCTGGGGCAGCTGGCTCCTGTGTTAGCTCCTCACTGCACATACCTGCAATCCAGAACACCAGACCTGAGCTATGGTCACAGCTGCTGCCCTTCTCCTGCCACAGCTGAGATAGCCAGGTGGGTCCGGGTGGCCAGCTGGGGGTGGGGAGGACGGACAGGTCAGAGTGACTGGCCAGGTGGGTCCGGGTTACCGGCCGGGGGCGGGGATGGACAGGTGAGGGTGACCGGCCAGGTGGGGAGGACAGAGAGGTCAGGGTGACCAGCCAGGTGGGGAGGACGGACAGGTCAGGGTGACCAGCCAGGTTGGTCAGGGTGACCGGCCAGGTGGGGAGGATGGACGGGTGAGGGTGACCAGCCAGGTGGTAAGGATGGACAGGTGAGGGTGACCGGCCAAGTGGGTCAGGGTGACCGGCCAGGTGGTGGGGACGGACAGGTGAGGCTGGAGCAGCTCTCCCTGCATGGGAGCCACGGGCACAGATTTCACACCGAGAGCATCTGAAGGTGGCCGCCCAAGGGTCTGGCTGGCCAGGGACACACCTGGCTGAGCCCTGGGCCTGGCCCGGGTGGGGATTTGAGCTCCAGGGCCAGGGAGGACAGGGCATGTCTGGGGGCAGGCCCCCTGCCAGCTGCTCCCATTCCCTTCATTAACCCTCAGAGTGACACCCAGGGGGAAGAGATCGCCTGAGCCACAGCGCAACTCAGCAGTGCCGACCCAGGGGATGGGTCGCCCAGTCCAGGCAGCGGGCTGCAGGGTCCGGCTGAGCACCGTGAGGACCACACGGACACACGAGGGCAGCCCTGTGCACGCGCGTGCACACACACGCACACACACACACGCACACACTCACGTGGACATGAGGGGCCGACAGAGTCGGTGCTTCACCCCGGCACGCATGCCGTGCTGGTCATGCCACCCTTTGCATCTTGCAAGGAGTTACATGGGGGAGGGGACACTGTGACATTACAAGCAGCTCCTGGCCCGGAGTGAGTGAGAAGTGGAGTGGGCTGCCTCCGGGGATTCCTCTAATTTAGCTTTATCCACTCTCACTTAGCACCTGGAACCTGCCCTGGGGGAAGCCTGAAGCCTGAATTTAGACCAGAGCTGGGAGCCAATGGGCCACAGGGCTGCAGACCCGGGGCTCTGGGCCCCCGGCAGTCAGATCTTGACCCACCGAGGGGCAGGAGCATGCCAGGCACATGCTGTGCCACAGCCCCTGCCTGCCAGCAGCTCTGAGAAACAGCCTCTCTTCTGCGATCCCTCTGTACACTCACCCTGAGCTTGCAGGAACGGGAGCCCTTGGGGGACCCCTCCCTAGCACCCCAATTCAAGCTGGTGTCAGGAAAGCCTCAGGGTGTTAGGCTGGGAACCCAAATATCCCCAGGAACCCACATGAGCCCACAACCACAGCACGCGTGGCAAAGGATTCCTCGAGCACAGATACTGGCGGTGGTGGCCAGGAAGGAGGTGTGAGAGCTCTGCTCCCAGCACAGTGGGCCCTCCCTGCTGCTGCTCCGGGGAGCTCAGAGCACACGGAACCAGGCCAGGCAGTCCTTCCTCACCAAGCTTCGGAGGAGGCCCACACACGCCCAGAGGTGGTGTCTGCACACGGCCAGCCTTCTCAGAGCCTCAGCCCTGTCGGTCAGGGCCTCCGGCTAAGCTGGGATGTCCACTTGGGACTGGGCACAGCTGTGGGCTGGACCATGACACACAGACCTGGCCCACAGCCCTACCACCTGGGCATTGCAGCTTGTGAAGCTCAGAGACACGCCCACCCCTTGGAGCTCAGCAGAGTCAAGGCTGCAGCACCCACCACCCCGCCAGAAGCTTGGTCCGACTGGCCCTGGGCCCCCCGAGAAACAGACCCCCACGGCTTATCAGCTCCACTCGAGGTGAGGTGGGAGAATGGGGCCACACAGACTCGGGGGGTGGGGATTTCCCCTTTTGTGTGCAGGACAGCCCCACCCTACTTGGCAGCTCCTTACCCCACGTGCCAATGCTGGGACCGCGTGCTGTCTTCGTTGGCACCGCCCAGTCTGTTGAGTGACGGGGACCGGCTGCGGGGCCCAGGAATGTAGCTCGCAAGGGTCTTCACGGCACTCTCTGGCTTGCCTGGCATCTGCTGCAGCAGCTGGGGCGACAGGCTGCGGTGGGCGGGGGCCGCGGGGCCCACGGCCCAGGCGGGTGCACTGGCATTGAGGTTGTTGTCGCTGTTGGAACGCAGCAGGACCCGGGGGGCAGCCAGTGTGTTGGGGGGCCGCCGCCTGCGGTTGGAGTAGGCCGGGGCCTCTCGGAAGGGCACTGGGTTGGGAGAGAAGGGAAGAGGCGGTGAGCGTGGCAGAGGCGGGAGGCCGGTCCGGGAGAGGGGCCCAGAGTCCCAGCACTCATCATGTACACGGAACAGGGACAGACCGCAGGAAGCAGCTCAGAGCCGAGTCTCCACGTGGCCAGCAGCCGGGAGCCCCCGGGCAGGTGGCATCATCAGGACAGCCCGCTCCAGGTCCTCCTCCTGAGGGTCTGGATGCGGTCTCTGTGATGCGTGGATCTGCCCCCTTCGCCCGCGCGATGCCATCCCCAGGAAGCCTCAGACAACCTTAGAAACCATGCGTTGCCATCTGGCCCCATTTTCCACAAACCTGGGAAATGTCCTTGCGATGCTGTCCTACCCCAAGACCCCAGAGGTGACTGAGCTCACAGACAGGTTGTTTAAGCCACCACGGGGCCACGAGAGCGGCCTTAATGCAAGACACGGGGACACAGGCACACGGGCACATGGAGGGATGGTGGCGGGGTTGGGGAGTGTAGCACAGGAGGACGTGCCGTCTGCAAGCCCGGGAGAGAGCCCTTGGGGGCTTCCAGCCCCGCACACCCAGGCTGCAGCCTCTAGGCCTCAGGGTGGGGACCGGCCCCTCCAGCCGCTCCTTCCAGCCCCTGCTCCTTCCTACCCCGGCCTGCAGGACCTGAGCCCCAGGCACGGATGCGGCCTCCGAGTCTGCCAGTTAGAACTGTTCCACCGCACCCCGACAGAGTCCTCCCCGGCCCACTGTCCCAGGGCTTGTCGTGCAGGTAAAGACGCGCATGCCAGGCTCCTTAGCAAGTTGGAGACAGAGGTAAAGGCTCCCGAGCGGCGTCAGTACCGCAGCTGTCTGAGGCGCTCAGAGGTCTGACCAGGACAATGCTTCCTGCTGGCCTGCGCAGCGTGGGACAGTGGCCATGCTGGTGACAGAAGCCAGCCCGGGGCTGCAGCCATAGTGCCCGAGGCCAATAGGGCTGCCACCTGGCAAGCCAGAAGCCACAAAGCGGAAGGACGCGCAAAAGTGGGGAAGGGACTTCACGTTTCCAAAGAGAAGTCTCAGAGATTGGGGAAGAATCCCGGACACTTCCCCACCCCTGGCTGCCCAGGGACACCAGGCACAGCTGAGCCATTCACGTAGCCCACCAGCTCACATACACTTGGAAGCAGGGCTCCCAGGGCACACAGGAGAGGTCACGAGGATGGAAGTGGCCTGGCCTTGTTGATGGGGACAGAAGTGGCTATGGGAAGACTTTGGAGGGCTGACAGAGCTGGTGCTGGCAGGGCCCTCAGGGCCCCCAGGTGGCTTTGGAGGGCTGACAGAGCTGGTACTGGCAGGGTCCCTAGGGCACACAGGTGGCTTTGGAGGGCTGACAGAGCTGGTACTGGCAGGGTCCCTAGGGCACACAGGTGGCTTTGGAAGGTGGACAGAGCTGGTGCTGGCAGGGTCCCTAGGGCACACAGGTGGCTTTGGAGGGCTAAAAGAGCTGGTGCTGGCAGGGTCCCTAGGGCACACAGGTGGCTTTGGAGGGCTGACAGAGCTGGTACTGGCAGGGTCCCTAGGGCACACAGGTGGCTTTGGAGGGCTGAAAGAGCTGGTGCTGGCAGGGCACAGGGGGTAAAGGCGGTACAGACAGGACTCTGTGCCACCCTCATCTCCTAGGACTCAGGACACAGTAGGGCAGCAAGCCCTGTGAGCCACACACGTGCTGGTACCCTTGGCGAGCCTGGTGCTTCTCAGCTCCTTCCTCGGGAACCTGTGAGAGAAGCAGAAGCTGAGCGCTCCCCAGCTCGTGCGGCGCTGATGGACTGGTGCAGCAGCCGGCCTGCCAGGGGAGTGGTCACACAATGCCAGTAGGAAGACCTCCACGCGCGTGCGTGTGTGTGTGTGTGGTCGCTCACGAGGCATGCCTCCCTCGGAGCATGGGGGAGCTGGGGAAGTGTGAGATGCACCTGCCGTGGGGGCACTGGGTAGTCTGGGAGGCGCCCGCCACTCAGGGGAGGGGAGACCTTGTAGAGCGAGATGGTGACCCCCAAACTCAGCAAGCATGTCCCTGTCCATCTCAAACACTGTGGGCTACACGGCCACGTGGGTCTGAGAGCCCCAGGCTCAGGCAGCGGAGCTTTCAGCGCCCGGGGCCTGACACAGGGACAGAGGGACCGCGTGCCGGCCATCCAGCTGCCCTGTGGCCCAGCAGCATGGCACGTGGCAGGACAAGTTCTCGGCGCCCTTGGTGGGAAGCCGGTGGGGCTTGGGGAGGGGTCGTATCAGGGCTGAGCCAGACCAGGCAGTGAGGACAGTCCCTGCTCAGCCCGCCGGAGGCTGGATTCCAGCAGCTAACAAGAGAATGGGCGGCGAGGAAGGCTGATTTTCCCAGAGGAGGGACTCGGCGGTGGCACGGGCTCCGTGGGAGGGGATGGCAATCGGCAGCGAGGGGGTCGTCCTCAAGCATGCAGGCAGCGCCTGAAGCCCTCCCAGAGGTGACATTCACAACGACCGCCACGCGTCCTATCACGGGCAAGCCCCACGTCCCGGGAGACACACTCAGTGCTGATTTTACGGCCAGCTTGGGCAGGGAGGCGGCCTCCTGCTTTCTCGCACGTCCCCTCTCTTTCCCGGTTTCCTCAAACGGGAGCTCGCGGCACACCTAACCGCCACCAGCCACGGGAGGGATGGTTCTCGTGAAAAGGGTTAAAAATGACTTCCTGTCGGGACATGATTAATATTCCAGCCTCCGGCTCCCTTCTGGGAGGCAAACTCCAGTGGGTGGGTATTTTCTTAGCTGTCTTACATGCATTCATTTATCCGTCTCCCGCACAGGAAAGATCACACGGGGCGTGACCAAAAGCGCATGCACTGAGTCCTCCACGCTCCACGCAACCCGTGCAACCCTAAGCCGAGGGGTGGCCGGGCAGTCTGCGCCCTGCCCCGCCCCCTGGCTGTCCGCAGCAGCCCTCCAGGTGCCCGGCGGGCCAGAGGCAAGCTCTGCTCCTTTGGCTCAGCATTCGGTTCCTGGCGTGCCCTGTGGCACACTCACAGACAGCAGCCATCCAAGACAGCAATTCTGCAAGAGGAACTGGAGGCTAAGCTGGTCCTCAAATCAAAAGGCACTTCCAGCCGGGTTCTTGTCCAAACCAGCTGAGACCACACCGCACACCCCTCCCCAACTCTTACACGGCACAGCGGAGCCCCAGCCATTTCCAGGGAGCCCAAGTCCCCGTTTCTCTCTGAACCTCCGGGGTCAGTGAGAAGCGCCGGCTCCCACGCACACACTCCCCACAGCGTCTCTTACCTTCCTTCTTGGTGAAGGCATTTAGCAAAGACTTCATTTTCCCTCTGACCTTGGCAGTGGTCTGCACATTATAAAACCCTCTTGGTGGGGACGGAGGTGAGGCATGCAGCCCGGCCCCTGGGTGCTGGAGCAGCGGGGACCCGGGGAGTGGTGGCAGCGGTGACAGGCGTCTGGGCACTGTGCACTCCGGAGCATCGCTGGGCATGCCAGACCCAGCGTGCCGGCGGCGAAGCCCACCCCATATTCTGTCTGTCAGCTGGGAGCCAACTCTGCGTAGACGGTGGGGCTGCTGTCAGAGCTGGCCGCCTCTCACGGCTGCGTCCGTCCTGGGAGCCGTGCTACTCGGCTTTTGTGCTCAGCAGCGCTGCGCGGGGTTAGCCGGGATCAGGCATCCTGAGCTGGCAGCCAGGAAATCCCGGGAAGCACTTGTGAGCCGGAGTCCCAGTTATCCACAGAAACTCGGGCGGCTACGGCGGCGGCAGCGGCTGCTGCTGTGTGCGCCATGCGTCTGTGGCTAAATATAATGCACTGTGCTCTTCTTTCTCTTTTAATCTCCAAAGAAAAAGCCAAGTTTATTTGTCAGCCTCGCATAGAACCAAGAGGACAAGCAGCAGATGAGCCTTGCTCCAGACGCGCAGGAGCTGGGCAGCCACGCCAGCCTTCGGCAACTGCCGAGCCCGACCTATATTTCCATTCAAAGAATCCGACACAAGTACCCATCACTTCCCCGGCTCACCCCATCATGATAATTACCCTGGGGAAAAAAAAAAAAAAACAGAACGCCACCCCCTCCCACTTTCCCTTTATAAAGGGAACGAGGGAAACCATTACATTGCAACACAGCCCCGCATGGCAGTGGTTCTGGGCAGCTGGTAGGAAAGGAAATGAGCAGCGTGGAGTCCTTGCCCGCGTTTCTTCAGTCCAGGGGAAGTGCGGAAAGGTGGCCCGTCCACACGACCGGCAGACGGCGCTCGGCGGGACGGAACCCACGGGGTGTGCCCCACGGCAGGCGGGGCAAGTGCTGCCCGGGGACGGGGTCGTCCTGCCTCCCCCTCCCCCAGCCAGGAGTGCCTTTGCAGCCAGAGCTGTAATTAGGTATGCATTGCTTCCGTTGCTAAGAGAGCTGCTTTGGTAGAAGAGAAGGATCTTTAAAGGAGAAAGACAAGCGATGAGAAGAAAGCAAGTGGAAGCCGAGCTGGACCACACATGGTAGACGTATCTGTCACTGTTGGTGGCGCGAGGAAGAGAGGGATGCCCAGGACAGATGGCAACGGGGGGTCCAGGGAGGCGCACCCTGAGGTCCTGGTTCAGGAGGCACGGAGCTGGCAGTGAATTCACAAGCGTGTGTCTTGCGTTAGCTGAGCACGTAGAACTAATTTCCCAGTGAGCACACAACACAGCAGCCAGGCCCAAACGCCTCCCCGGAGACCCTCACCCTGAAGCTGGAACTCCCAGCCCATCCCCTCTGGAGGCACAGGTGTCTCTCCAGGAAGGGCCAGGGGTCTTCCAGAAATCATAGCCAATGCATACACGAAGACAAAAGATGTTGCACCCCAGAACACAACTCTCGCACACTTCTCTCACTCCAAGGGCGTCTGGCCCCACACTTGTGCACCTGCTCCTTGCGCTGTGCGTCAGGCCTTAGAAACGGGCAGCCACGGCAGCATGGTGCATCAGCCAGGGCCTGGCTGCTGGCTCTGGGTGGTGATGTTGGT